GCCCGGGTTGCAGACCTCGAACCCTAATCACGGACGATTCGAAACAGGATGTTACAACAAATTTGGTAAGGGTTAATCGGCCTTCGAAAGATAGAGATTTCAATTTCCAATTTGAAATTCTACCCTTGAACCGATCAATGATAGGTTTCCAGTTACGTTGAAGGACCATATTCATTCCAACAGGAATGCCTAAATAAGTGAAGGGGAAGGGGCAACCATACAACCTAAAACATGAGCATAGTTGGAGAATTCCGACTCGGGCACACCAATTCCAATAACTGTAGACTTGTTAAAACTCACCTTTAAAACCGAGGCAATATGAAAGCATCAGAGAATTCTAGCCAAATTCTCAAAGTTGGTGATGGACCAGTCACCGATAAAGATTGCATCATCTGCATAGAAAAGATGTGAAATCGAAAAAGATAGCAACGTTTAGACCTTCCAAAGCAAGGATGAAAAGGAAGGGGGATAACGGGTCCCCTTGGTGGACCCTTTTAGAAATTGGGAATCCTTTTTCGATACACCATTGATAAGGAAGGAGGCTCTAGAGGAAGCAAGGCATCCTCTAATCCAAAAACGCCAATGATTTCCAAACCCCATTTGAGCCAGCACACCGTCCAGATAATGCCAGTTAACAGAATCAAACAACTTATCAAAGTCAACTTTGAAGAGAAAATCTTTTTTTTCTAGATTTTTTTGCCCAGGAGCAGATCTTGTTGACAATGAGGGGACCATCAAGATTATTGCGTCCTTCGACAAAACTAGTTTTAGATTCGTCAATCACTGTGCCAATAACATTTTTAATATGATTTGCAAGGGCCTTGGCTATGATTTTATAGAGGGACCCAATGAGACTGATAGGACGATAGTCATTAAGGTGAGAGGGTCCGAAATCTTGTGAATTAGAATGATGAATGAAGAATTGTAGCCACGAGCAAGGTGGCCGCTATTTTCAAAGTGTTTCACAAAACGCATAATGTCATCTTGCATTAGACCCCAGTATCTTATGATGAACTTAAAAGTAAATCCGTCTGGCCCAGAGGTTTTTTCTCCATTGCAATCCCAAATATCATCTTTAATCTCCTCGAGAGAAAAGTCATTCTCTAAGAAGGTGTTGCCATCAATGGATATGATTTTAAGGTTTTGGTTGTGAAAAGGAGGTCTGACAACATGTGGCTCCTTGAATTTATCACCAAAGAAGCGAATAGCCTAAGATTTTATGGTGTCACAATCCATGACCCAAACTCCATTCACCATTAAGCGGGGGATAATATTCTTCCTTTTTTTTATCTTAATAAAGTTATGATGGAAACTGGTGTTCTCATCTCCATCAGTTAGCCACTTCACCTTGGATTTTTGTTTCAGGTCAAGCCTGTTGAGGTTCTCAAGTTCAATAATTTTCTGCTTTCCATCTTTTAGCGTGATTCTTTCATACTCCGTTAAGATTCTAGATTCAGCCTCTTCATCAAGAAATCTGACCTGGGTTTTGATTTAAGAAGGTTTTTGTGCTCATTTTCAAACTCGATTCTTCTCCATTTAATTAATGCAAGTTTGACAACCTGTAGTTTTGCAAAAAGGTGTTTATGAGCTGGTCCATTACCAACATAAGAAGACCAGACGTTGAAGACCACATGATTAATACCATCTCAGAACAGCCATGAGTTATAGAAACATAAAGGAGGGGGGTCCAAAATCAACGAAATTGGTTTGTAGAATAATTGGTGAGTGATCAGAATACTCACAAGGTAAAGCAGTGACAGAGGGCGTAGGGAAGTGGTACATAAAGTTGGGGAAAACAAGCATTCCATCTAGTTTTCTGAGTTTAAACTCATCATCACAGAGGTAAGTGTATCTCCGGCCACCCATTTTCAAATCAAGAAGTCAGGCATCATGTATGAAGTTATTGACAGAAAAGGCGGTGGAAAGGCAGAATAAAGAATTATACCTTTCCTCTTGTTTTCTCATGGCGTTAAAGTCTCCAAAAATTAACCAATTACCTGGTCTTGAAAGCATCAGGTTCACAAGATTCACCCACAAAGCCTTTTTATCAGATGGGGATTGAGGAGCGTAAACATTAACAAATATAGTTTCTCCGGTGACACCCTGCCAGTAACCCACGGTTGCCAAAAAGAAACGATTTTTGATAGTGACAATTTTTTGGAAGAGGTTTTTTATCCCAGATGCTTATAAGTCCTCCAGACCTTTCGGTGGCCTCCACAAAATCAAAATTAAAGTCATGATTGCCCCAACCCAACTGAAGATCAACTAAGGAAAAAGTGGCAATTTGAGTCTCCTGAATACCATAGAAGGACAAATTGAACTCCCTTCTAAGCCTCTGAATCCACTCGATTTTGTGGATATCTCCCATTCCCCTTATATCTAAAAAGAGAACATTCATTGGAGGCCGACTTGATCACCACCACCAGTAAGGGTCTTAACGAGCACCCTGTTGTCATTCTCAAATTGAAATCTGAATTGGGCTCCAATAGCTAAGGTATGATTAAGCTCTGATGACGAGGACGATTAAGAAGCAGAGATGTCCCTGTTAAGGTCCAAAGAATGAGAATTTGAGGGAGAATTGTTGTCAGAGATGCAATCAGTCGAAGCGCAGGGGGCATTTTTTTTCTCTCTTTTTATTTTTAATTCGTCGTCTTTTAGGAGTTGAATCCCCCAATTTGAAGTCTGGGAAAACTTCCACCCACCGATGGATTTGGAGTAGAGTGAGGGCCCAAGATAATGGGCTCATAAATTATGGGCTCTGTTGTGGTTAAGATTAGCCCTGTGGGTTGAACAGGTAGGGACATAGGGATCCGATTTAAATCCGGGTTACAGTCGAGTTCACCATTGGGATTGGGGGAAACATTAAATGATCTAGCACGTGACCTTGAATCCCCATGCATCCGTTCATCTTCCTCTTTGTTCCCATGCACCGAGTCAGTGATCATCGAGAGTGGTGAAGTCGACAGAGTACCCCCTGATAGTGGCCGGAAAGGGCGTACAAGGGGATCTCGCCGTCTTCAAGATCCATCTCCCCATTATTCCAAGTCTCATAAACACCGTCTTTATCATCATCATCATCATCATCATCATCATCCTCATCATCATCATCATCATCGTTCGTACTGTCATCATCAGACTAATTAGGATAAACCGCCAGAGATAATGGCTTGAAGGGGAACCAATCTTCATTTATCTCAGTGATCCCGATTTTGACAAGGGCGCCATCGACTTCTGCAATCACCTCCTCGTTGATTTTCTTTTGAGTAGCAGTGTGGATGCAAACCTTACCATGGGAGATGTCATTGTTGTTCTGGAAGGATTTCGCTTGGACCAAAACCTTCCCGAAACTACTCGCAATGTGGCTGGAATTTATCTCATCCTAGGCGATGATATGGACGCCAAAAATCTTCACCCAGCCAATCCTCTCAGAACGGGCATCATGTTTGTCGGAGGGTTCCAACCAATTGAACCATTTTAACCAAATACATTTGTTTGCTCCGAAGACCTCACCAGCCTTGATTGAACGGAACTTTAGAGTAACCAGCATACCACTCATATACTTTATATCATCAACATTGTATCCCTCTGTCAAAGACAGTTGAGAAGTTGTAGAGGAGGTCAACGTTTTTTACTTCTCCAGTTATCGCCGTAGAGTTCAACCAGTCCCTGTTTTGATCGATAACTTAAGAGACATCCGAAGAGGGGGTTCTGAGGAGGGAGATGTGTAGGGTTCATGCCTCTGGTCACTTCAGCAAAAGATCTAGAGTCTCTTTAAGAAGGTGGGGCCGGGTAGATGGACGGTTGGGGGTCATCTTCTTGCGAATCACTTGTGGAGGGGGCTTGCGGGGATGCTTTGAAATGTTTGCTTTCACCCTTAGACCTCCGATTAAGATCTCGTTCAGGCCCTTCACAATGTCATATGTATTGGCAACCTTTGTGAATTTCGCAAACGCAAAAAAGGAACCACCTTCATCTCTTTTACCTGGGATACAGATATCCACAAGCCTTCCAAGCTTTGCACAGGGCTTCCAAAGCTTAGAACGATTCACATCTCTTGGAATATTTGTTACGTAGAAGGAGATAATCTCATCAATGTCAGATTGCACCGGTCGCGCCGTTTCACCTCCGTCCAATCGCACATTCTTTAGAAAATATTGTTTTCTATTTAGTTCTATGTGTAAATATATCAACAACTTAATTAAACATAATCTTTTACATCCATTAGCAATCCAACCCAACATAATTTTATATTAAAAAAATATATTATAAAATTATATCAATATGGGTCTTGTTTTATAGAGAAAAATTAATTATATTTTAGTATATTTTATTTAACTTTTTACTAGAAATTGATTGTAGTTACCAATAAAATTATTTTTAATTATAGAAAGTAATGATTTCCACCAATAATTGATTGACACATTTATTTTATTTAATGTTGAAAAATTGCCGAGCGTTTATGATCTTGGGTTGTGCTTCACCCCAAAATATTTACTTTTCATTTTTTTTTTTTTTTTTTTTTGGCGAGCCTTCTTTTAGGGGTCACCAATGGGATAAACTTATAATTACCATTATTTGCTGAAAAAAAAACCTCACCTGTCTCTATATATAATCTCATATATTTTTCTGCCTCCAACAATTTATGACAACTCCATCAAACAACCTTATTGTAATATATTAATTTAATTAAATTAATATCAGTATTAAGTTATTATTATTATTATTATTATTATTATTAAATGTGTAAACACAATAAATTAGATGTGTGGTTTATTAAACCTTTCATAAACATGATATTTGTTTAACTACTGAATTAAAAAAAAAAAAAAAACTTTTAAATAGGTATAATCTAACAACATATACTTAAATGTTAAATCCCACCCATTTTTTATCCGACCCCAAGTGGTGACAACCATAAAAGTTATAAAGCTGAGAAACAACTGCCCAAAAGAAGGTTTTAATATGTTTCCCAGGTCGACTATAACCGACACGTTACAGTCCACGCGCCGTCGTAACAGGAAGACCATGACACCACCATCAGAACTGCAATCCCAACAGAAAGATAAAGAAATTCTGATCCTCTCCCTCATCCCTCATCCATATCTCCTTCTGTTAAAAAGAGAGAGAAACAGTTGCCTCACGTTGAATACGACTCTAAGTACGGATTCTTTAAAGGACTAAGAGGCGTGAGCATCGTACATACACTCTCTCTGTGTGTGCCTTCAACGCCATCGAAACCAGAAACAAAACTGCACATCTCTGATTTTGTGTTTTTGATCTTTCTGGTTATGAACAAAAGCCAAATTACATGTTAATTCCTAGAAAGTGATTCTTCTTTTCATCGGATTCGAAACGCTGCTGATCTTAACTTCATCACTTTCCGACAAACAGACAGATCACCGTCTTAAACGCCGCCGATACACAGTGGCAGTCTGATAGTCGTTGGCCTGAAAAATGTTCAGCGGCTAAAGGGAATTCGCATCTTCATTTTTATCTGCTTTTTTGAAATTAATTGAATAAAGTGGTGAAGAAAACTATTTAAGACTTTTATTAGAAGTTAATACACATAAACTTCTAAAATGTTTGAGTTAGTTTTATATTACATACTGTTGTTCATAAAAATTATAAACTTCTTATTAAGGTTTTTGTTTATAAACAATATAGTAATATGTTATTATTATGGTTAAATTAATATAATATCTTATTATTAATATTTAATAATGAATAAGTACAATTTATAAAACTGATTATATATATTTTTATTTTTTAAACTGACTTCTAGTTTAATTTTAAAGTATATCAATGTCGCTCTAAATCCTGGAAGAATAAGTACATTTTTCTACTCTTGATACTCATAATATTAGCCTATAAGTCTTTTTTATAGATTATATATTATTATTATACCGTTAGTAAAATATAAATATAGTCTTATTAATTATTATACAGAAAAGTAAAAATATATTTATTATCAGGGATAATGACATAAAAAGATAATATATTTTTGAGAAATTGAGTAATCTAACCGTTATAAACGACAATTTTAACAAAAATAAAAAACATTTTTTTTGGTAAAATGACCACTTGCTCCGAAACATAACATTCCGGAGCTGTAGTCTTAGTTCCGAAGTACCTATTCCGGAGTTCCAAGTCCGAATTATAACATCAGTCTTTTTTTTATTTTCGTCTCCTATATATATATATATATATATATATATATATATATATATATATATTATATATAATATATATATATATATATAGTATATATATATATATATATATATATAGTCCATATGTGCTTAGAACCTTACCTTCAATCAAGTAATTGGTAGTCATCTCTTATAAAACTGCTTCAAAATGAGTTTCACAAGCACGAAGAAAGCTATAACAACCTGTTTGTTTACCTTCACAACCTTATGCGAACTAACATGCATACTTACACTCACATCAAAACTGATTTGATGGATCGTTTCGAAGCTTGTTTTGTGGCTATTGGATGAGTGATATATTTGTTTTTTGTACTTTTCTATTGTTTCTTTAAAATATATAATGCTTCTACATCTAAATTAATTCATATTTGTTCCCAAAAAAATACAGGTTCATGCATTCATAGGCTGCTTCTTGTCTGTCATCTTCCTAGGTAGTGTTCCTCTTAGAAATGATTACCTAAAAACAATGTTTGTAGCGGTTGCTATCAACGGGAACAACCAGACCCTCCCTATAGCATTTGGTTTGGCCGTGGAAAATAATATCTATTGTTGTAGTTGGTTCCTTATAAGGTTAAGAGAAGCTCTAAGACAGGGGCGGAGCACGAGCGTTTGAAGTAGGGGGCCCGAAACCAAAATTCAAAAAAGGCATATAATTTTTTTAACAAATAGATTGAAAAAAAAACAAGTAGTTTAACAAAAATACAACCTAAAATAAGACAATATAACAATAAATTCTCAATTGCTCAATAAATTAACAAAATACAATAACGTGTGAGTATTGACTATTGAGAAAAGTTTTTTCAAATTCTTTAGTATCTATGTGAAATAATTAAATGGTTTTCTACTTTTCTTGCTTTTGCAGCCTTTGAGATATTGCCAGACAATTGATTTGAAGTTTTGAACAAATCATAATCATATTACTGATTACTTTTGTCCTTACTTTTCACACTATTGAGACTTTAAAAAGAGAGAGATAAAGAAAGTGAAATTAGAATACCGAGTGCAATTTCTTTCCGGTGAGAACGATGCCTGAGCAAAATCTTGTTTCCGGTGGAGGCCAAGGAGAAGTGAGATCCAGAACTACACAAGGAGCCCATTTTTATTTCATGAAGAAGGGATATGTAAGCAAGCCGAACTTATTTTCGGTAAGCAAAATCTTATCCCCGATGAGCACTGGTGGAGGTCTGACGGTGGGCAACTACCAAAGGGTGAAAGTTATTTTAAGTGTGCAAAGTTGGAGCTTTTATCGAAGCCTCCGGTGAGCGCCAGTGGAGGTGGTGAAATGCGTATAATTTTTTAGGGTTTTCAATCTTTCAAAGGACGATTCACATAGATTTATAAATTAGGTAGGTTAAATTGGTTTTTTTGATAAGATTTAAATTTCTTAGATTAGATCAGAAAGTTTCATTATAAGATTTAAATTTTAAGATTAGATATGGAAGTTTCATTATCCTCATGAAATACAAAATTGTATTACTCACTGCTTAATAGGCTAAAAAACGGGGGGGCCATGGCCTTCCCCTGACCCCTACTGGGTTCCGCCCATGCTTTAATATATGGTAGGGAAGTATCGTTCATAACAAATATGGACGATGTCATTAGTTCTTGCACAGAGCATGTATTCTCTGATTCTTATCATGAGTATACTTCTAAGAGTGTGTTCAAGTATATGTGCACAAGAGGCGTCTCTGGCAGAACATTACAACCTTTGTTCTGGATGACACCCAACTCATATATTGTGTCTGATTTTGAAGAAAACTTTTGTCGGCTGACCCCTGATGCCCGTGAAATGCTTGCCAAAATCGGTCATGCGAAGTGGGCAAGAGCCTATTTCCCTAACATCCGTTGGAATGTAGTCAACATTGATGTTCCCGATTTTTTTTTGTGTTATCGGTAAATCAACGCAATGTACCGATACTAATGCTTATCGAGGCAATTCGTGACTACATTCAACGGACTTTCGATGAACGCAGATTAATGGCAGGTGAAATATTAAATTTATTTAAATACTTGTACAAGAACCTTATTTGATCATATTTACTTTTCAGTGAGTTTGACTATCGTACTCACCCCGTATGTTGAAATGGTGCTTCATAAAAGGATGCAAAAGTCTGTTCGGTGGCAAGCAACAAAGATCCCTCCATAGATCATGTCTTCGCTCCTGTCCGACATTTATCGAGTTTTTGATTTTAAAAAAACTTGTGTTGTTGATATGAACCGTCATACATGTTCATGTGGGAAATGGCGTAGTTTGGGTATAGCTTGCGGTCATGCTATTGCGGCATCACGTCATTCGAACGTCCATGAATTACCTGATATGGTTCAGATATATTACCGGACTGATGTGTTTCAGACTGCCTACCAGACACAAACCGTGCACCCTCTTCCCCCTCCATCAGAATGGGAAATACCAGACCCTTTGATTGTAGTTTTATTGCCAATGTAATTGCAATTAATTATGTTTGTAATTGATTTGCTGTGTGTAATGAAAAATATTATTATTTCCCTAATATTTGTTACATATTACAAAGATAGAAAAAAAACAATTTTCAAGTACCATAGTAATACTAACAAAGAAGAAAACATTACATATTAAAAAGCTTAATAAGCGTTACAGAAGGGAAACTTAGTTGATGAACATAAAGCTTACAACTTGTACACAATGATTCCAAAAAAAGAGAAAATCCAACTACAACTTAACGCTATCTTCAAGTGCATATTTTGGGTTTTAAGTTTCTTCTTCGATCAAATAAGTTACTGATTATCACCGAATTATTGTCTTTTGCTTTGTCAACCTAAAAGAAAAACCCAGACTGTGGTCCCTAAAAATTTAAGATCAAACACATGACATATATTGTGTAAAGTAATATTAATTCAAAGAAAAATAATAAAAGGATAACCGACATACCTCTTTAGGAAAAGCGTAAAAAAGCCGTCCAGGGTTATTTCTAGTCGTTGATGTCCTTATAATACCTTCAGCGCCACAATCGCAATATGCCATTTCTTTGGATTATGAGAAATTATTTTTTAGTGGTAAATTTAACAAGGTAAAGACTTTGGAAGCTTGAATTCCTTTATATAATGACATTTACTAGGGTTGTTCCATAATTGATATTCCAGAATACATATTCCGGAGCCACATTCCGGAATTGATATTTCGGACCCTAATTTCGGAACAATAATTGTCTTAGATTCCTGACATATGTGTAGTCATTCCGAACAGTAAAATCATAGATTCCTGACATATGTCTACTCATTCCGAACAGTAAATGTCATAGATTCCTGAAAATATTTCGGACCACATATTTTGGACCATTGTTCCGGAGCCACGTTCCGGAACAACTATTTCGGAGCCAGGTTCCGGACCAGCTATTTCGGAGCCACATTCCGGAATTGATATTTCTGACCATAATTTCGGAACAATAATTTCCATAGATTGCTGACGTATGTGTAGTCATTTCCCAACAGTAAATGTTATAGATTCCTGACAGTATTTCAAACCCTTATTCCGGAACCCCATTCCGGATCCGGAGCTACTTTTCGGAATGGCTATTTCGGACGCTTGGTTTTTCGACCTTAAAATGCACCTACCATGAATCCTCAACGTTGAAATAAAATTGGAATGAGTTCATCTCACGATGGTGTTTGGCATTGTGAAGAAGAAGATTGTTATGTTTGTTCAGATAATAAACCGTTTCCGGAAGGCCCATATTTCTCACTCACCGATAAAATGCCTGATGACGTTTTCCAAGCTATAAAGGTTGTTGAAGAAGCAAATGAAATGGACTCTGAAAGAAGTCGCACACTAAATCAACATGCAGACGATCTAGCGAAACAAGTAAATGAAAAAGAAAAATGGGTTGCTGAAGCGATGAAAGAAGTGAAACAAGCTAATAAGTGTATTGAAAATGCAAATAAGGAGATCAATAAGCTGCGTGCAGAACGAGACCGTCTAATAGATGTTGTTAGAATTAGAGGAGATTTTAATGACCGGGAACAAAATATGTATCCCTTACAATTTCATGATTTGTGGAAACCGATCTAAGTA